AGGGACAATTTCACATTCACAAATGAGACTGCGCCAAATATCCGCAGAATCTGGGACACAAACATTATTGTTCCTGCAAAAAATCCTAGATAAAACACCGAAAAGATGTTCAACGTCCACACGCTGTGCGCAAACAGCCTCGTTCATAATTTCACTTCACACTAATTGATTAGAGAATTATTTAATAATGCTGATTCATCTGCAGAGACTATATGGCATCAAATGAAACGTGAAGATGATCATGAATATGGAAGAAGGCAGTTTCAGCCTATTTGAAGGCAGGTATTCACCTGGAAAGTCTGAGGAAAACCACGTAACACCTCGGGCAGGATGCCAGATTCAAGCTGCCAGGATGAGAAGCAGACCGGTAAATTTCTCGTCTGTAAATTTTACCTTTTTGAGGCTAAAGGAGTTCCGTCAGTCTGGGGAAACATTTTTCTAGGGCAATATCACGTGTGCACGTGCACACACATACACACTTTTTCACACAATGTGTACAGTATGAAAAATTCATAAACAGGAAACAATTTTCTCTTTACAGACAATAGGATCGGATCATATCGGACACTGGAACAGCAACGGCGCGGATCCAACTTCCGGCACCCGCCATTCTTCGTGGCGTCTTATGCAAAAACCTGGACGGAGGACAAACGAACGCTCTGGGCTCTGACCTGAGAAAGCACTTCACACAGATTCACTGTCACGAACAAGTTTAAAAACTCTGCAGTCTATTAAATTAAATTCACCATCGGTTATTATGTACAAAAAAAAACAATAAATAATTAATTTTAGTAGAAATTAAATTAAACAAATGTAAATTTTCAAGCATCTACATCACTGGAATGAAAATTATAAAAATTAAAATGCAGCCATCGCTCGGACGTCTCCACGTCGTCGTGTGCAGTCCGAGCAAAAACGCGAGACGTGTAAAAAAGAAAATGCACTTAACCAAAATGAGCAGGAAAGTCTCACTACAACCCGAATGAACGTTAGTTTAGTTCAGTACGAGAGAAATATTCTCTGAATTCAGTCTAAGCTCTGCATCAGGACGTGCAGCTCTCGGAATGCGTGGCCAAGTTTACCCTGAAGAGTCTGCCTTTTGAGCAGAAAGGCCCGGACAGACATCAGGCTGCTGTAGCATTTGACGCACTTACTGTACCTGCAAGCAGAGAGTCAACGGTTCGATTATGGGGCGACCTGCGGCCATCCAGCGCACATCTCGCAACTTTGAACGTCGTCTCTCTCTCAAATTTCTTACTATTTTACCATATTTTAACAAAATAAGTCCAAATTTTAAAACATGATACGAGAATCCTCCGTCTGAGCAGTGTACGAGCTGCACAAGACATGTTGAAACAGATTACAGGCCCTCCTCACCTTTCTTCTCGGGAGATGTCAACGCCGACCGACCGGACAGGAGCTCGTACATTGGTTTTGATGACTGGCGCAAAGTTCCTCAGGATCAACCTCAAGGTGTTGCATCCGACAGTCATGTACCTGCAAACGACACACAAAAAAATATACATGAAACACTCCTCGATGGTACACTGCATTTTAAGACTTCCAAAAGACATTTTGTAGCGTTAACAATTCTGAAGCATTTGCCAGAATTTGACCTGTAATTTTTTTTCAAATGGCACGACGTAAGAGTTGAAACTGAGTGGGTGGGGCGTCCGACACCCATACGGTTTGGCGATCAAGTTAACGCGGAGGATCCCCCACCAAGTAACGTCTGGCAAAAAAATAAAGAATCTTAATATAAAGTGACCAATATTCTTGTCAGATTTTAAACAAAACTATATATATATATATTTCCTGGTGCGACTGAGAGAAACAACGAACGTGCAGGGGTCAAAATAGCCGGCATGAAAACTCATATTTAAACCCCGACATCTGAATACGAAACTCGGGCGGGATGAGGGGTGTGATATCTGAATACGCAGACTGCACGATCATTAACATGTTTTGAAGAATCATAAAAGGTTCGGCTCGTACCCTGTCACATCACAGCCGTGACTACGAGGGGACGAATAATTGTGTATCAAGTGTGACAATATTAGTTAGGCCTGAATGAAACTGGACCCTCAACGGCGATGTCCTCCTTCGGACGCCCGCTTACGACGTCATCAGCGAGGACCGTGGAAAGGGTTACGGAATTAGCCGAGCGGTGGGAAGTTTTGTGCGCTCCGTTCTAAATAATTGGCACGCCTTTGGACAGTAAAAGCTTTCTGGAAATCGGTGCCAGCTGCGAGACAGTGCAGACACCGCGTCATTATGTTCGATACACAAAAGACGCCCGGGGTAGACGGTGCAGCGTCGGATTCGTGTTAGCTAGGCACCGCTTCAAACAGCTCAAACTGTCGTGAAGACCGCGATACACGATTCCCACTCAGAAGTTCGCACGGCCGTCATGCTGGATCGTATATGACGACGAATTAAAAGCCCGCCAATGGTCCTTTATTTTGAACCACACGAATCGAGTATACACCCTCCCGTCCTCCAATCTCGGTCTTCTAGAGTGGTCTCCTCACATCTGGCTACGGAATCAAAATTACGTATGCATTTCTACATTTCCCATGCGTACTACACGGCCCGCCAATCTCATCTTCACGAACCAGCCCGCGGTATACATTGGACAGGTAGGCAATGACCCCAGATGGAAACAAAAACATGTCTCAACCGCGAATCGAACACCAGCCTTTTAGCCCACAACCCAGTCACTATACTGACTCGGTTATCCCAGCAACTTCCTTGAAACGGACAGTAATATTTAAATAAATGGAAAATAAAGGAAAACAGATTAAGGAATAAAAGAGGAAAAGAATGTAATGTTACAAGGGAGAAAGATAAACAAGGTACAAATGTAAGAGACGCAAGCCTTTGATCCCGAAAGTCGTCCAAATGTTATATAAGAACTCGGTCCGTACCGAAAAGAGAACACCGCACTTCACCGTTACGCAGATCACGTGGTCAACGCTGTTTACAGAGAAAATCGTACGAAATGAATTTATTACAAAATACCGCGTCGCTTGTTATTAAAGCAGGTGGTACATATAGTTCCCACTGGCATGTCCAGTGGAACTCGTCGGTTTGAAAACGTAAGAGGCGATTAATTACATTTGTTTTTCACTTCCTGCACGCGTGAGTACTCATGCGAACAAAATTACGCGAACAAACTTCATGACGACAGTTCTGATGGAGACATGTGAACTGTTTGCTACGCCCTCAGCGGTGGGAGACAATGTAAGTCATTCCTACCGATCTGATTTCAACATACGAGGCTCTGGCGACCGAGTCACAGCTCAAATAAAACATCGCCTAAAAAAAAAAATATCTAGATTTGAAAAAGGCGTATGGGGGGAAATAGACGTAAAGCTCCACATATTTAACCTCGGCAACTCTCCCAGTCGCTTTGAAATCTGTGGTGGAGCGAAAGCCGATAAAATAGGTAGCCACTTTACTGACAGAATTATACGAAAACACAGGCTTTATCGGAACAATAGTAGTAGTTAACGCGTGGCCCAACCTTTTCCATTCTACGCTCGACATAACTCGTTCACAAACACTGGCCCTTTTTGGTTGGGAAGTCTGGTGTCGGAGAGGATCAAAGTCACAAATTACACGTTACCACGAGAACACGTCAACAAAAGATTTCTTTGCAAGAAAATGAAAATGGTTCTGTAGATACGACGCAAATAATAAACATAATTCACTTTAAAGGCTTGCGTCAGCTGTACACGTGTTACACCTGGAGAAGATAACGGGGGGAAGGGGGAATGTGCTAATTGCAGGCGGGGAGGAAACCGACTATTATCGTCCGTAAAGCGTTGTACGTCACGCACCGCGTAGTAATACAAGACTGGCGGAACAAAGACCACATGGCAGAGTAACAGGTGTGGTGCCTGGGGCAGCGATACTTCGCTCACGAACAAGTGGGAAGCCTAGTTCACAATGAGCCGGAGGTTGTAGCACAAACAAGTGGGAAGCTTAGTTCACAATGAGCCGGAGGTTGTAGCACGAACAGAAGGTCAGACGGAAAACTTAGTTCACAACAATTCAGCGACTGCGCCAGAGATTTATATAACTCTCTCTGCTGGTACTGCGTTTCATCTCTGAATGTTCTTCAAATGCGAGGCTGTCCAAAAAAACAACCTTCTTCAAGGGGCAGCAGAATGTATTACGTAATCCACTAGATTTCTCCTTTCCTTTGCAGTGGCCCTGATAAGGGCCCGTTCTGTTCCCCTATCTCCTATTGGCCCACATAGGGCCCAATCTTCTCTCCCTCGTCCTCAACACCGAATCGCCAATCTTTCCGTCGCGTTCCTACGTACACCTACCTACATCACGGGGCTACTAACTTCTACCCTGAAAATGGAGACAAGAGAGTCCTCAGGACCACCAGTATTCACTTATATGGTTAAACAGTGTTGCCACCTGTAAGATCACAATCTAACATTTCCCCATCAAGCAAAACCTAAAATCTCACGAGGACAAAACCACTTGCAGATTAAGCGCAGTCCACAGCTCGCTAAGCTGCATTAGGCGCATGATCAACGTCTCGCAGATTCCCTGTCGAACTCCCTCGGACGCTTCACCAGGAAATATTGCGTCTAGCGCGGAAGCAATGCCTCTATTAAAATGTAGGTTAATTTAATCCTCGTGTGGTTTAGTATGACGTAGTCGCAAGACAAGAGACGCTGAATTTACTTTTAAAGCATTAATACACTCACGACTCCCCCGAGGAGACGGTAGTTCTTGTATTAAGGATCACAAATAATGACGATAAATCACAAATATTATTCTACATTAAATAAGTCAACATTTCATAACACACGGACAATAACGACTGATAATAAATTAAAATAATAATTTCATAACCAAAGACATTTCAAATACCAAATTTCCAGGCTTTCATTATCCTAGATGAATTTAAATTTTATTATTTTGGATCATTAATTGCGATATTAATAAGAAATTACGTCCGACTGTTAATTTTTTTGAAGATCATTCCACTGCTTAATAGATCAAGAGCAGAGCAAACTCTGTTAGTAATGGCGAAGCGTCAATTTGCCTTCGCTTACTTCAGTCACGAAAGTACAGTCTGCAAAACAAAAATAAACTCGATACTTACATCTCGTATTTACTCTGGATGAGGTCATAGATCGTCGGAAGTAGCGCGACGCACAAGTCGAGATTCCAGATAGACCTAAAAAAAAAGAAAAATCATACCTGAAGATGGATGTTTCACTAGCATTTAAGTTGCGCTTCATAAAAAACCACTGGATACCGGCTTCTCATTCTGCAGGAGCGGAGGTGGGACTTTCGACTGACAAGGGGCTCGGGTGTTTCCGAGAGTAACACACTTTTCCCCTGCCGATCATCATTCCGGCGATGATCCACGTTCACCGCTTATTCTGAAGCGTACAATATGCCAGCACGTTCAGATTTCATGTTTTTGAGGTGACGAGGATAAAGACGACTGTCTCGTGTATAATTAAGAGGCAGCGCTATCTTAAAAAATTTAGGATTAATCTGCAAGACGTCGCACGTTGCAGGACGCGGAATAAACCACATACATCCAAACTGCGGAGTACGGTATTCCAGTAAACTGCACAGATGACAAATTTTTCAAATACTTACGGCCGCAGCATGATTACACCTAGGAGGTCCACAACTACGGCCAGGTCATTCATCGCCACTGCCGAGTCAACGGCCGCCTGCAAATAAGGGAAAAATATTACGAGAACAGTTTCTGTCACACCGCAACGAGCCAACGTGCCACATTCTTTGTTTCAGATAAGTTTCCTTTCTATCATCTTATCTACGAGCGTTGTTCGTTGTTTGTTCAGTGTCTTAAACATCAACAGGATTAACTTTTATCAATTTCAGTCCTTCCCTGGTATGCCTCGCGTATGTCACGGGAGAGAAATGGAAAAACCACGGAGAAAATCAAACAAAATCACACCGAGCTGCTCTAAAGATCAAAAACTTTTCCATAGGAACGCAGCACCGTTTGAAACCGCCAGGACTTCCCAATATTACAGCAACAAATACGTTTGCGTGGTCTGTAAATCCGTAATAATCTCGAAGTGCCGACAGCACCGCTAATAAATTAAAAGTAAATGAGGCAAAAATTATGCTAGTAAATACAATGAATTTTTTTTTGGGGTGGGGTCCCCACGACAATGACAAAAAAAAACTCTGAAAGAAACCCAAATTATTTGAGTCCTGTTATAAATATATCATTCATCGCCCTGATGACGGAGGCAGTATGACCTCTGAAACGTTGGTTAACATCGACCAGACTACACAGCGCAATAACCCAGAAGACAGAAATCTTCATATTCACCGCTGTGAGAACCTCAAGTCTTACATATCATTCAAACTTCACGCTGACGTTCAGTAAATTGTCATGACGACAGAATTAAATAATATTAGAAAGAAAATAAATATTAAACTAAGACTGAGAAATCTACCTTTAAGTCCTTATTGTGCCACAGAGAATATACAATTTGAAGGCTCCTCTGTCGACCGGCGAGTACCGCCATCATAGACTCATGTCCTCTCATCATAGATGACAGCACCTCCGCTTCAGACATGTCAGGAAACGTCTGCTGATAGCCTAATGTACGCGAGTAGTTCTTCTGGATAAATCGTAATCAGACGTTAACAGGACAAAATGGGAATAATATTAAATTACATAAGTACAATTTTTAATTCTACGATAACTTCATTATTCTCGCAGGTACAAATACAATTGCATGGTAAGTGAACAGCGGTAACGGTCAATGTTTGCCGTTCTTAGGGCACCGATGTCTGATCCCACAATATGGCGCTTCAATCATATGTATATATGCAGTAAAATCCCATTTTCATGTTCCTCTGGGGGAATTTTAACAATAGATCATGACAGAAGAATAATAACACCGATAGGATGGGCGTAAGGCCTAAATTTTTTTAACTACATGAGGGAGAATCCTGAAATAGATTCACTAAATGTGGGGTTTCTGCAGCAAAAATGCCTATGCCTCGGTAGTCGTGAGAAACAACATTTTAATTTATCTTTACTGCTGCGACAGGTTCATAGTTTGTGTCTGCGGGACTGTGGCTGCTAACAGGCACACTGTCCACCCTCCCACCCCTCAACGATACACGAGCGAACATAAAGCAGAGGTGGAATGATACTGAGGGGAAAACTAAAGGAATCAGAGAGCACCACATCCGTCAACACAATAGACTCATCCGGTCGTGAATCCAGGTTTTTGATTTGGGATGCTGGCAAGTGCAGGCCTGAGCAATGGGGCGGCCTGCACGATGCTTAGAAAACTTGATGACTACGGAGAAAAATGACTTCAAATTTTGTAAACATAATTTAATCGAACTTCCAATTCGCTTGACACGAAATAAGCTACAACGTCTGCGTTACCAATTCAACGAAGACGACCAAGTTTTAGTAGGCGATAAAAAATATCATTTAACTTCTTTGAATTTAAACATCAGATTCCAGAATTATTTCATTTGAGCTTGCATTCAATAAAGAGATAAAACACAGAATTATTTACCGGTAGAAACTCTTCCAGATCCAGGCCGGACGGTTTATCGGATGCCATCGGTATAAAATCCTCCGCTTCCTTCTTCTCCTCCTCCTTGCCTCCAGCAAGACTCGACATACGGTTCTCCCTCGTGACCGGCGAAATACTTATCTCCACCGGGATTGACGATGGTGTTGGCGGTTTAGGCGCTGATGTTTTCCCAGCCGTCGGTCTGTCATACGATGTGGGGGCCGCGGTCTGAGGAGGAACGTGGCACTCGGACCGAGCCGTTTCTACACTCAGCGACGCTAAATTCCGACTCAGCGAAAGAGACCTCGTGTGTGAAAAGTTTGCTCGGTTTAGAGCCGGCTCTGACGGACTATGACGTATGTTGCTCAGTCTGAAAGAATGTTATAACATATTTAGTGCATGAGAGTAGTCAACTTTAATTATTTAATGATATGAGTAATGTATTTTATTTATTCATGTGATTTAGAGAAGAAGAAACCGGCAACACATACTTGACAGGAAAGTCCACCTCTGGAAATGACTGCGGGTCCCTGCAAGAGCTCAGTTTGCGCACAATGTCACGCTTTGAACGTGGAGAACTAGATGCCTGAGATGACATCTGTTCGTTCACAACGAACGATTCAGTGAGTGGCGACGGTGGATTTCTTACTGTCACTCCAGGTGGCAACTGATGAAGTGAAGTTTCCTTCAGCTCCAAGCTACCGAGGCTGCGCGTACTGACCGGCCCTTCTGGATCGGACGAGGACGGCTGTAGCACCTGGGGCAGTGACGGATCTACAACAGCATTCAAACACGTAGAGTAAAATCTCATAGCAAAATACTTCACCGTTCCTGATAATTCTTTAAACCACAACTGAAAATGCATATAATGAAAATATCTTCCACATTTCAAGTACTTTGAATCCTATATTTCATAATTACATAAGTAGGAAGTATCCAAGTATCAATATGGTACATTTTGCATTTCAGTGCGTCTGAAGAATAAATACGGCACATTAAATTTGGTAATATCATGCGTTAAATACTCGAACAATCAGCAATTTTGTTCTGTCACAGTAAATTTCTCCATATTCGTATTCTATCCGTAATTCTCCCTCTGCCGACAGTAAACAGTCGGCTGTAAGTCGGAATTCAATGAACGTGACATTCTATGACTTTTTTCTTTTTCAGTTCAGGCTTGCTCTGCTGTTCACAGGAATTCTGAGTCAC